CGAGGGCGGCGTGTTCCTGCTCGCGGTGCTTCAGGAGGATCTCAGACATGCGGGCCGCATAGGCAATGCCTTCCTCGGACAGGGAGGCGTCAGCTTTGTAGGAATCCTCCTCGTTGGTGACACCGGCCCGAACGAAGTAGGTGGTGCGAGACTTGATGTGCAGATTTGTGAGGTAGAAGACGATGCGGTGGGAGAGGTAGTTGAAGGACACGTTGTTATAGAAGAATTTACGACCCGCATTGATCATCTTGATGTAGTTCAGTTCTTTCTCGTTCATGGTCTCGAAGACGGGAATCTTCATGTCGATGCGGCGGAGGTAGAGTTTCGCCGCCTCGTCGGGGTCCATACCGGCGAACTGGGGGCGTTAGCGAGGCAGAGGAAAGACCAGGAGAGTACGCACATCGGGCGAAGAGATCTTGACGTTACGCGCATTCTCACGAAGAATGGACTCATCATCCACGAAGGACTCGATGAAGAGCGTCTATTTGCATTAGCAGGACTTCTTGACGCAAGACTTGTACAGCTTACCTGCACATCGTGCTTCGCGAGTTCCTTGGCCAAAGCACGACGACCAGCAGCAGTGGGGTTCACGGCATCGTAGATGGCAACTTGGCCGTTCTCATGGTTCAGCCAGGCGTAAATATCTTCGCGACACTTCTTGAGGATCTTCTGTCTGAGAATAACAGATTGAGGAGATGCGTCAGGGAAGAAGTAGTCCTCGGGGACAATACCACCCTTGCCGACGGTTGCGCGGCGATAGTCACCTAGATGGAAGATGCGCGTCTTCACGCCCAGCCTACAGGCTCCTTTAGCAGAAGTACGAAAGCACCCGCCAAAGTAAACTTACCAGCCAAGGTAACGCGCCATAGAAACACAGATGTGGCTGCTCATGTTAGCTGAAGTTTCTCCCGATCAAAGGATGCACTCACGTCTTTCCACGAGCTGGAAGGCCCACCATCACAATAGCGATACGGCCCGAGTGGAAAAGTCGGCCAGACATGGTGCTGTACAGCTGGGCCGGAGCCATATCCTGGTCCTCTGGAACATCATGGATACCGTCGATGAATGTTGAGCTCTTGCGACGGTATCTGGGCGCGTTGGCCGCGATCTCGGCGGTACTATCAGAACATCAAATGTCAATAACTTTTTCTTCAGCTAACTCCGGCATATATTGTGAAAAGGGTTTGCAGCACAATCAGCTTGTGAGAGATAAGACCATGATATGAGGTGGTTGTCTTCGCTGCGACGATGGAATGCTTGGAAGATGTAGAAAGAACACACAGGATATGAAGATACTGAGATGATTGTATGCAGAGGAGGCAGGTATTATGCTACTGGACTCAGAACCAGATCCAAGAAGGAGGGGAGCAATGTGGACTGATCACAACAGTAAATCTCTTGGCATCAGCTTCCCCGAAGCATGAGGAGAATGTCTTGTTTACAAAAGACCCGTTGAAGGATGCCACAGATATTGGAGGGTGGTTCGGTCAATGAGCCTTTGTCTTAACGAACCGGGCAACACATTCGACCGCGACTGGTTGAGCACACGGGCTGTAGAATTTGGTATCGTTGTAATGGTTGTAATGAGAAACCTTTGACTTGTCCCATGCAAAAGCAAGACTGTATTGGAAGTCTTCTTGATGAAGTCTTCGGGGATAGCTCCTCAAGTTTGTATCTCAATGCTGAGACAGCACTTGCTGTTGTGATATGGGACAAGGAGAGGACAGGCGATTGGGCGGATTCTCCTAGGGCAAAACGAAAGAAAACGAAGAAGCTTACAGCAAAGTGTCCATGTTGACGGATCAGTTTTCCGGAGAATGTGTTGGTCACCTATGAGGGACGGCAAGCGAATCAAGGATTATGCCGAGGGACAAGAGGTGGGAGCGGGTTGGTCGAGAGGCATACACGGCACCGCCTTTGCGCCGGATGGAGGGGCCGCTACGGAGGGGAATAGCGGGGACGATGCAATGACGCAGTGCCGGGTCGCGACGTGGTTGGTACTGGCGATTTCTGGCCCTCTCGAAATCGAACCAGACCAGGAGAACGAAGTGGGCGAGGTGAGGTCAAGGGCCGACCTCAGAAAGACAAAATCGCGCAGAAGTCGGTGTTTCGTGGACGGTGATGGCGGTCGCGGTGAAAGTGACGCTGCTGTCTGAGCTGCCCCCGTTCCGAATTAAGCCGCCAGCCCTTGGACCGCCGAGGACCCTCCTTCGCCGAAATTCTGTGGTCTGTGCAGGCGGGTGCCCAACCGGGATTCGAAAAGACAGCGTTGGTGGTTGGTCTGATTTGCTAGATATCTCAGGAGAGTTGCGATGCTTGGTCTGAAGAATCAATGGAGGTTGGGAATCGTTTTGCAGGTGAGGAAGGTTAGGTAAGTTCAGGATGTCCTTGGACTACTAACACCTCTGGCGAAGAAAGAGGCCTTCTGGGCTGAATGCTTGGGAAAGGCCAAGGGAACGTACCGGATGCAGGCAAGGGTCTTCTCGGCGGCAGTCCCGACATCTGGGGCCGGTTAAGCTTCGGACCGATCGAGTGCCCTGTTGCACCTGACGCAACTAGCATCACGTGATGCTGATTCAATTGAAGGTGAGCTCTTTGGCAGGCCCCCACCGGGCTGTGGCGCTCAGCTCTGTGGTCCCGTTGAATCCAACGTGGCACCGTGGCTCGTGCTCGACCAGGACCTCCAGCTGGTGCGTAATGTAATCCAGCGTGGAAGAAATTTATTCTCCAGTCTGCCAATCCAACACTCCCGCTTCCGAGTCGACGACTTCTCCAAATCGACCCTGCCTGCCCATTGCGCGAGCTTCAATCGGTCCCCAGGGCAGTCGCATCTGTATTTTCCCTCCCGATACAGAGACCCTTTGGTCACTTCTCCCTCCCTTTAAAGACTTTTCCCGTCTGTTTAATTCCCCGGTTTCGTTCGACGCAGGCCCGCGCCGACTCTCGCAACCATGGCCGCAAGCTTCCAACAAATTCAGAATGTTCTTCTGAACAACCCTGTCGCCCACACTCTTTCAGATGCCATCAACTCCTTCTCGGAAAGGAGAGCGAAGCTTGGCCTGTCCAACCCCGGCACCACCGAGAACCTGACGAAGGAGGTCCAGCGCGATGTCCTGCTCAGCAACTACATGTTCACCGGCCTCCGCGCCGACCTCACCAAGGCCTTCAGCATGTCACCTCTGTTCCAGGTTTCTCACCAGTTTGCTATGGGCGACCGTTTGAACCCGTACACCTTTGCTGCGCTGTACGGAACGAGCAAGGTTGGTAAACCCCGCCATGTCAATTATGCGCGAAAACTGTTCGCTGACGTGGAGATAGGTCTTCCTGCAAGGAAACATGGACAACGACGGACAGCTTTCTACCCGATTTAACTACCGATGGTCTGATAAGCTGGTGTCGAGGGCCCAGTTCCAGGCTGCTCCCGGCGCCGGCCAGGAGATGCTTCAGTTCGAGAACGAGTACACAGGCGACGACTTTACTGCCTCCCTCAAGATGCTCAACCCCTCCTTCCTCGAGGGCGGCATGACCGGTATCTTTATTGGAAGCTACCTTCAGTCTGTTACCCCCAAGCTTGCCCTCGGTCTCGAGACCGTCTGGCAGCGCCAAGCCATGACCCAGGGCCCCGAAACCGCTACTTCCTACTGCGCTCGCTACAAGTCCGCCGACTGGATCGCCACCGCTCAGCTCCAGGCTCAGGGTGCTCTGAACACCTCTTACTGGAGACGTCTTTCCGACAAGGTTCAGGCCGGTGTTGATCTGTCTCTGTCTCTCGTCCCCGGTGCTGGAGGTGTCATGGGTGGATTCCAAAAGGAGGGTGTCACCACCATCGGCGCCAAGTACGACTTCAGAATGTCCACTTTCCGTGCCCAGGTCGACTCCAAGGGAAAGCTGAGCTGCTTGTTGGAGAAGCGCATTGCTGCCCCTGTCATGATGACTCTGGCCGCCGATGTTGACCACTTCGCGGTATGTGATGCGTATTTCTACTTACGAGCCTGTACTAACTCTCTCTCAGCAACAAGCGAAGATTGGTGTCGGTATCTCCATTGAGGCCGGTGGCGAGGAGCTCCAGGAGCAGCAGGAGGCTCTCGGTGCTCAGGGCACCCCCAACATCCCCTTCTAAACTCGATACGAGGCAGGCTGGGCGTTCGCCGAGCCTAACCCGAAGCTCCGCTCCTAATCGAACCCGATAATTGTTTGTCCTCTGGCGAGGACAGGAAACGACACCAACGAACTCGACTCCTCTTTGCAAGCTCTTTTTTTATACTGCTGTCTTAGTAAACGAATTCACGCCTCGACAGCACGGACTAGACGATTTGACGCTTCTCATGCCCCCCCGAAGCTCACCTTTCCGTCCACCCATCTCACTCTCGTTCGGTGACCCCCGATTCCTGTTCTCTACCGCCGAGGACCTGTGTATATTACGCTCAGGACGAGCAAAGAAATGATCAGCGTGGTGGGGTATGGGCTGGCTTGGATGCATTTGTTATGGGGAGGTCTGGAACGGCATACCCAACGCGGAGTGGCCGATGCCACTCCGATGAGAGCATCTACATGAGTGAGAGCATCCTGAATGGGCCCTCTTGATGAAAAGCTCTCGCATGTACTTTGTATGAAGGAGATAGAATTCAGATGCTGATACAAGCCCTGTTGTACAATCACGAAGTCAAGAAGGAATTGTGTGCATAAGCTGGGCCGGGGCCAGTATCTGCAGGTCAAACATAATACCATCGAGGCCGTGCCATGGTACGTAACTTTATGAGCATGCAAAGTTGCCGCTGCTGATACTTGGCCAGGTTATCTTCTTACCACCAGGGTTCCACTGTTGCCTGGAAACGCCTCGCAGGCGATGAAGCGTCCCAAAAGGCAACTTGTCAGACGCTCATTGCTCTGTCTCACTTCCAGCTAGGGACGCATGGCATGGTTCAACACAATCGAAGCAGTTGCAGCGGCGTCTCTGATACATTCTCAGCAGTAATTCTGATTTCAAGGCATTTGCCATTCTACTCCTTGTCAATTTGCTTGAACAGCGTCTTCACCTCCTCGTCACTCCACTCCTTCACACCCAGCATTGCGTTGTCGCTCTTCTCCCATGGAGCGGCATAATGCTTCTTTGTGCAAGCATACGGAATCTGCGGGATCAAGACGTCAGGGGTCATGACGCCCTTCTTGATCTGCTCCATGCACTGCGCATAGACGGCGTCCATATCCGTCTTAATCTCCTCCCACTCCCCGCCAATCGCCTCCTTCGCGAGCTGCGCAAGCTGCTTCTGAGACTTGTTGATCGTGTGCACATAGATGATACGGTTGGCCGAGTCGTCGGGGTTCGTCAGCGACCCGAGGACAGCTTTGCCGACGTCGGGGAGGTTCGTGTAGGGAACCACGTTGTCGCCGTCGTTGAAGTACGTGATCTTCTTCTTCTTGACGTCGAAGCCCATGAAGGTCGACCGGATGCCCCAGTCGAGGAAGGGCCCATTGGCGATGATGGTCCACGTGAACTTGTCGCCCACCTCCTGCGCCTTGGCCTCCATGTACTTGCGCGTCAGCGCCTTGATGCCGAACACGGGCAGCTCCGGGACGTGGGCCTTGTTGGGGTCGATGCCGAAGTCGGGCGGGATGTAGCGGTACACGCCGGCGGCGACAGCGGCGTCTACCACGCGGGTCGCGGCCTTGGGGTCGAAGTTGCTCGTGCAGTTGACGAATGCGTCCTGGCCCTTGAGGGCGGCGGTGAGGGAGTCGAGGGACTCGTAGTCTACCTCCTTGACGGTGCAGCTGGAGGGGAACTCGTGAGAGCCGGCTTTGCGCGTGAGGATGGTGATGCTGAATTTGTTGGTGTCCATGAGAGCTTTGAGGACGTGGGGGCCCACGTTACCGGCAGCCTGGGCTTGTTAGTTGGTAGGAGGGTACTGGACAGGGAGGACTTACGCCGGCAATGGCGACGTTCTTGATTTCTGGTGCCATAGTGTTGTGAAGTGTCGATTTACCGTTGAAGTGTGTTTAACTGGTGTTGATACTAATTATCGGTATGAACAGCAGCGCAGAGCTCCTACTTATCTTCTTCCTCATTTTCATAGCAAGGATGATTGGCCGCGCTGAAGCAAGCTCCCGGAAGCAAACTGGAAGCATATGCCGCTGTGACGGGCTTCCGTTCCAGGCTCGTCTGAAGGTATCTTGGCCGTCACTCATTTGCTATCTCGCCAGAGCCTCAACAGCTTGGAGCTTCGCGCTTCGAAGCAAGAGCTTTGACCCTGTAGCAGCAAGGTGACGCACGTACGCTTACATGTTCTCGAACATGCTCTGGTTCAGTCTTTCCATGTACCACATTGAGCTCGGTTTGTGGAGAAAGACCAGGCCAATGGAGATTGCGTATATCTCGACATCCGCAGTACAACACGATGGACACCATTTGCTCGAGTTGCTAGGTTTAGCTCGTGTTACGGATGAATACGATAGCTAAGCTCTAAGCTTCCGGGTCTCGCTTACCAAGTGTCTCAATAAGGCAGTGTACTCACCGAGAAGTCATTGGCAGTATGGCTGCCTTGCATGACATAGCCTTCTGAAAGTTGGGATGATTGGAAGCTTCCGGGTCTGCCGGCCTAGCGAGGCCTTGCAGCTCGTTCGCCTGGACGGGAACTAAGTTGCGAGACGAAGCAGCAAGATAGCATTATCACAAAGTCAAATTTGGATGACGAACAGGCGCGCGGGAGTCGATTGAGATTCATCGTGCTCGACGTGATGGACGTGTCGGAGGTCCGTAGTACAAGGGTCGGCATGGTCGTTTCGAGATGCGACATCCTTTCCCTGAGAAGAGACGTAGCAAATGATGATCCTCCCATGTAGTGGTCTTCATGTTTGTCCCCCGGTGCAGTTCACTCATTATGATTGAAAATATACACAGGCAGTCGCTGCCAGCTGTGCAGTGCTGAGGTTGTTCTGTAGACGAGAACAAGTGGTCTGTGTGTAGAATTGATCAAACTTCCGAGACAAATATCTCACGATGTGTTGATGAGCACTACAAAGCCATCGATGTCGCAAGTCGAGCTTTGGAACTACTGGAAACTACAAAAAGTACAAAAAGTGTGCGAGAACCGGGACTCGAACCCGGAGCAGCGGCATGGGAAGCCGCTATGTTACCCCTACACCATTCTCGCTGTGACGGAAACCTTTCAAAGCATCGTTTATGAATGCTGACACCGTGGCTGACTATGCCGAGCAGTGAGGCCTGCATCCCGCTGATGACAAGCCGCAAAGGTCCCATAATGAGGGGTGACGGAAACACCCGGCTTATGCTGAGGGGTTACTGCATAACTAAACTCAAAATGGTAGCAGGATTCGGCGGTTGTCATACCGCAGAAAGTGGTTCCGGAAACATACCTTACTTTTGTAGTTGCTTGGTTGTGAATTGACCTTTTGCTGAAACATGACAGATTCTTCGCTGATATGTCGCTTGGTTCATAAACAGGTTAGATGAACCCGCTCCCAGAAACAGGTGTTCTGAAGAACAGAAAAGAAGAGCAGTGAGTTGGGTGAAATCGAAAGAATTTGTAGGAGAGAAAACTTTTGTCGAGTCGTTCTGGTGCGAGCTAGACTGCAAACTACCTTAATTACAGCACTGGTCGGTGCGCTGCAGCAAGCAAGACCCCCTGTCTTCAATGGATCTTCCCAGTAACAACACCTAAGGTTATGTAAGGCGGCATACTAGTACATTCAACAACTGTTAGCTCGAGTTGAATCTTGAGGATATCAATTCATGCAACTTACAAACTAAGCCTTGTTTATACATGACCCTCTCTACCTCTGTCGCTCCGTCGTTTCTAAAGCAAAAGAGAACTTTCTTCAGAATCAAGTTTTGACTAAATAGAGACAGCGTACTAACGGAGTACAACGTTTATAAACTTACAGTGGTTGCATGGTACCTTTACTAGGGGTGGCTGATCAAAGGTGACGATTCCCGAATGCCTACTTACAACCAGCCAATGCCAGACTCCGTGAAGGTACTATGCTTTTCATATGTAAATGAGTCAGTCAAATTCCTTATTCTGTCTACAGTAAGTATGTACGGCAATTCATCTCCTCCACTCAGATAATAAGTCTGTAGATTTAGATGCCCGGAGACCGAATCTAAGCTATCCCGTGGGCGAGCTCTTGCCTCGAGGTCCATTCAGCATCGGCTTTTCATCAACGAACCTCAAACCCTTCCCTCCCACAGCTTATATCAAGTATCGGAACCCCTTCTGCCTCTGCCTCGCCGTACCAGCATCAACACCCTCCACATGTGCCGTCTCCCCCAACCTCTGCATCTCCTTATCCCCCACCACCACGTCCTCATTCTCAAGCCTGTCCAACCGCTTATTCTCACGCACCAGAATCCACCGCTGCCACACACCACCAACCGCAGACACCCCCAGCAGCGCAATGACAATACCCAACGCAATAGGGTACCTATCCCCTTGCGCATCAAAATACGTGTACGAAGTCCAGATGGACGCCGCGTTCCCGACGGCGTTCATGAAACCCAGAGCCGCGGCGCGCTTCGCCGGCGGGCGGGGCACGCACGTCGACATCCAGGCGTACGTCGTGCCGTTCATGGTGAAGACGAAGTTGAGCAGGAACAGCGAGAAGTATCGCGGCCCAAAGGCCGTTGTCGTCATGAAGATGACGCAGCCCGCAATCACGATTGGGATAGGATCTAAACCATCGGCCGTTTGATCAGTAACTCAACTTCCCCAACATGTAAAGACCTCGACGAAAAGCGGGCGCAACTTACACACGAAGAACCAGAACCGGTTCTGCACCCGATCCGACAACCACGAGTGAAAAGCACAGTAGAATGCCATAAAGACGTACGGCGGCGCCACAAGCAGCAGCGAGACGGTATCATCGAACCCAAGAGTCCGGGTTAGACTGGGGAAGAAGTTCTGAAACCCGCCCGCGCCAACGAAGGCGTGGTATGCGACGGTGAGAATCCATACCTTGGGGTCTCTCAGCGCCATTTTGAAACCCTCGAGCTGCGCCCGCGGCCCGCGGGTCTCGTCGACGTCCGACTCGGCCGCGTCGACCGCCAGCCGCTTGGTCGCCACGCGCCGCAGCTCCGGGGAGAGCGCGCTCCAGGACTCGGGAAAGTCGGGGAGAACGAGGCAGATGAGGATGCCTGTCGCGACGGTGACGACGCCCTCGAGGATGTAGAGCCAGCGCCAGGCGGAGATGCCGTGCGCCTTGTCGAGGCCTTTGAGGATCCCCGCGGCGATGAGATTGCCAAAAGCCCCGGCTATGAGGGAGCCGTTGTAGAAGAGGGCCATACGGAGCGAGAGTTCTTTCTTGGTGTACCACTTTGAGAGGTAGAAGATGACCTTGTGTCTGTGTGAGTAGGTAGCATGAGGTGAGGATCTGGTGATACTAACCCCTGGGAAGAACGGTGCTTCTTTTCTTGACGTCAGCCGGTGTAAGCGAGGCGTGAGGGTTCGCACTAACCAACGAGACCGAGGACCAATCTGCAGGCGATGATGCCGGCGAAGTTTTGGACCAAGGCTGTGAGGGCCGAAACGAGGCCCCAGGCAATGGTGAAAAAGCCCAGGTAGTATGCCGGTTTCCCAATGTGGTTGAGCATCATGTTGGAAGGAACTTGGGCGAGGACCTAGAGACACAATTTCGTCAGTATGAAGTCCGTGGGGAAAGGCCTGCACCTACGTAGGTGATGAAGAGCACTGAAAGCCCAATCTGGTCTGTTGCGACGTGTAAGCTGCATTAACAAATTGAGCTCATGGAAGCTCTTACACTGCGTGTCGGTGAGATTCAGATCCGCCTCCAGTCCTTGGAGACGAGCTGCGGCATAGTTGTTCCTGCCCAAAGTCAGCCAGCATCCCAGAGTCCGTCGGGACCACTGACCGGTCAATATAGTTCATCAGGTATGTCCACACGATAAGCGGCATGATCATGAGGTCAATCTTCCATCGGAGCTTCTTCTCAAGAGCAAGCTCGTCCTCCGTCAGACCGAACGAACTCATCTGTCCAGAGCTCTGGCTCGCTTCCCTGGACGGTTCAGCCATGTCGTCAAAACGGGCTTTGGCCGAAATAGCATGCTCATCGGCATTAGCCGTGTTGGTTGGGAAAGCCATTCTAATCACACTCTCTCGATCTTTCCGGGGACGAAGACTGAGATCAAGATCGTGGTTTGCAAGCAATGCGTGTGGGCATACAACTTTAAAAGACTACCAACCCTGCCCAGGGCGTTCACGACGCAACGCGTACCCCCACGAGAATCTCTTGTCATACGTAGTATTATTGATACCAAGATCTGTTGTTCTACGGACAACGTTCTCCGTCTCAGCTACAAGTATTCACCGCCGGAAAACTTCCTTGATCGTCCAAGTTGGCGCCGAGACTACCCCGCGTCCCCAATCCATCGCCAAGCCTATCATTGGGGGGCTGGGCTGCGCAGTTTTCTAGTCACTCGTGTTCAACACTTCACAAGTAGGGATGCGATACATATCGCGTTTTCTTGGCAATACGTTGTATTAGTGGGTAAAAAACGCGTATTTTTAGCAGCAGTATAACGCAGGGGTGTTTTTATTGTATAACGAGCTAATCTAAAATAAGCTATTATAGCTTCTCTACTATTACTTACTATAATACCTCCTTAAAATACTATAAGTCTGACTTAGATGCTTTTTCTTAGCGAAATAGAGCTATTTCTAAACCTTCTAATATACTTTATATACACTTAATCACTTAAGTATTAATATATATAAACGCTAATTTATTAATATACTTAAACGTTAATCTATTATATAAGTAGCTATAGAGAAAATTTATTATTAAAAAAGACTTCTTAGAAAGTATAAAGTTAGTAATAGTACTAAAAAAATATAAAGTAACCTTTATTAGTTTTAAACTTATACCTCTTACTACTTATTAAACCTTAAATAGCTTTAGATTAATATACTAAAACTTAGTATTAAACTTAAAAATAAGATAGCTATAATAAGCTTATATAGTATAAAGTTTATAAAATATATAGTATACTTTATTAAATAGTGCTAGATTAATTAAAAAGTATTTAATATAGTTAAATATAGGTATATTTAGCTCTTCTATTATTATAAATAGATTAAATACTTATATAGTTTAGTTAGTATTATTAGTTTATTATAAGAAGTATAAGTTATAGAGTTTATAGATATAAAGTTAAATTTAGGCTTCTTAGAAGCTAGTTAGAGTATTTAAAGCTTTAAGCACTTACTAAGTAGCTAGAACCTTATACTACTAAAGTAGTATATACTTTAAGTAATTATAATCTACTTTAGAGAGTTATTAATCTTCTATAATAAGTTTAAAGAGAGCTTTTAGTACTTTAAAATACTTCTAAAAGTTACTATTAATAATATACTTAATAGCTTTTTTAACCTTTTTAAGGAAGTTAGTCTTTAAGATATAAAGTAATCTAATATAGCAAATAAATACTTAATAAGATTAATTAAGGGATTAAATTACTTAACTTTAATTACTTTAATAAGTAATAACTAATATAATTAATAACTTCTTATAGCTAAAGAGATAGTATTAATAACTATAGAAGTAAGTATACTATAGCTTAGAGGTATAAAAGGAGTTAATAATATAAAAGGCCTATTTAAATATCTTCTTAAAATAAGGTATTTTAAGAAAGTTTTTAAGTAGGAGTTAGAAGCTATAAGAGTTATAAAATACTCTAAAAATAGAAAGATTAAAGTAGTCTTTTAAGAAAAAGTAATAGCTTCTTATAATAGGAGCTATATTTATAGTAATAGTATTAAGTTAAGATAAGTTATAATTAGAAATAGTTTATAGCTTAAGCTAAATTAAATTAATAATAGTTTTAATAGTATACTACTCTTTATTTATATCTTAAGTATACTAATAAAAAGTAGGGCTATTAAGAAGCTATATATATATATTAATAACTTAGTGTAATACTATATTATTAAAGCTATTAAATATAATATTAATATAACCTAAGTTAGTAATTAGTTTATAAACTTCCTTTTTAATATTATTATAAACTAAATTAAGAAAGTAGTAAGTAAAAGCTTTATAATTAGGTAGCTATTAAGTAAGTAAGAGTTAAGTAAAGAGAGCTTTAGTTTAAAGGTTTTTAAATATTATAAAGAGGTACTTACTATAAAAAATAGATAGAGTAGCTTTATACTTAAGCTTTTTAGAGGTTAACTACTTCTTCTTAAGTATTAAAACAGTTAGAAAAGTTATAAGGGGTTATTACTACTTTTAGCGCGTTATAACTATCTAATAGGGTAAGTAAGTATTAATATATTCTTAGAGATATATACTACTACTTATAAAGCTCTTTTAGTAGTACTTATATTTATAATAAGTTAATTTATAAGTAAAATTAAATAGTAGGTATTAAAATTAGGTATAAATAAGGGGATTACAAGAGTTACCTATACTAATAGTAGTAGTAATAGTAATATAGTGTAGTAGGTTAATAATAGAGACTTTTAGTATAGATAGGCTAACCTAGCTAAAAGTAGCTAATAGAGGCGTTAATAGGTTAGATATAGTCGAATTTAGCTATAAAGTGGGGCCTTTTTAAACTAGAGAGGGGTTTTCCAGCTAAAACTAGCCTAATTAGGACTAGCAGTATTATATTATATTTGTTGTTTTTTAGGTATAATACAGATACGTTGTTTTTTATGAAAAATACGTATTTTACCCATCCCTATTCACAAGGCCATTCTACAAGTTACTGTGGTAATGAACAGGGACACCAACTCAAGCTCAAGCCAGCATTCGTGACGAACTCTATATTGCGTGTCGTCTGTCTAAAGGAGGCCATTCTCGACCAACGCCCATACCATAGTAAAAACAGGGGCGTTTGACCGCTACACACGCGGAGCAATAAGCCCAATAAACTATTACAATGCCGTTACTGGAAAGTCTATGTTACAACATGCATCGCCCGTTCATGGCACCTGCGCTTTCTTCGATCGTGAATCTGAAAATCGTGAATCCTGTACAACATCTTACTTCGCCATGACATCGACGTAACGGCCACCCTTCTTGGCCTTCTTGGCTCCGGGTTTACGTGGGCCAGCGGCACTGAGCAAGTCGTCAATGCTACTAGCATTACTCATGCTCGTCGCGGGCCGGCTTGGAGGACCACTGAGAGGGCCTCCAGCCGCACTTGTGTTCGACACCGAGCGCATCATTGCAGGCGGACGAGGTCCCGGCGGACCACCACCAAGACTCTCAATAGAGGGCGTCTTCGCAAGATCTGGAACTGGTGGACCACCGGGAGGCGCGCTTGCTCGGCCCATGGGCGGAGTCATAATACGGGGGGGAGGTGTTCCCGTCATAGACCGAGGGCCGGCCTTCGGTGGCGGCGGTGTCGCCGTCTTGGCCTGCGCTTGGTCTGCGCCTGCAGCCTTGTTCACCCAGCGCTTCAGCTCGGGATCATACACAAAGTTGTTGGCTTCACCCAGCTTGGCTTTAATAGGCTTGTTGGGCTGCGCGGCATCAGGAATTGCTTCCTTCTTGCCGCCGAACCAGCTGCTGAAGCCCCATCCCTTCTTCTGCTGCTGCGCGGCTGCTGCTCGTTTGGCTGGATATGATGTCAGCAGAAACTCATTACCCTCAATATTATCTAACTTACCATCTTCTTCAGCTGCCTTCTTGAACATTTCCTCGTTCTCCTTATCCTTCTCCGCCTTGCTCTTCTCCTCGGATGTTGACCTAAGTGCCTTGAGACCAGGGATATCATCATCATCGTCATCCATGAAACTCTTTGGCTTTCGCTTGGGCTCCTCGGACTCTTCATCCGCCTCAGGCTCAGGGTTGTATGAGGGCGGTTCGTAGCCATACGGTTGGAACGATGGAGGCTGGTAACCATCCGAGCCAGTGCTATCTTGACCTTGCGACTGAGGCTCGTCGTTGGGGACCAGCGATGGGGGCTCGTATCCGTAAGAAGGTGGCTGGTAGCCGGAACCAGACAAGTCATTCGACTCCTGGGTGCCAGTTTGCGTCTCGACCTCCACCGAGGGGATCGTGGACGGCTGGCTAACACCATAAGGCTCATACGGCGAGTTAGCGGGCGGCTGCAGAGGGGAGACCGGTGCAGCTCCTGGCTGAGCCGGAGCAGAGGTCGGGGGCGTGTATCCGAGGGACGGGCCGGAGAGACTCTGCGGCATGTAGCCCCCGTTTGCGTTGCCGGGCTGCGAGTCCATAGAAGTTCGGGGCTCGTAGGGGCTGCGAGAAAGCTCGTTGGAAGTGCGTCCTGCCGAGGCGGGCGCAGGCATGTAGGAACCGGCTTCGTAGGGACTGCGCGAGAATTCGTTCGATGAACGGCCAACAGATGCCGATGCGGGCATGTATCCGGCGTTCGGCTCATAGGGGCTACGGGACAGCTCATTTGACGAACGTCCAACTGAAGCAGGAGCAGGGCTGTATCCGGAGCCAGGCTCGTAAGAGCTGGACAGAGCGGGCGTTCCGGAAGTTGGCGCATATCGAGATGCTGCCCTCGTAGCGGGGATAGGGACTGCTGAAGGTGGGGACCCGACTTGGAAACCTGGAGTTGCACCTTGATACAGCGGTTCGAAGTTGGACACCGAGGGGGATCGACTGATGGTCGGCGTACCACCCGCAATCCGAGCAAACGGTCCGGATTCAGCGCCCTCGGCGGAGCCACCGGCTGCGGCGTTTTCGTTCTCGTCACCCGCGACAAACTTGTTGAAACGGCTCCAAACTGAGTCGGAGACCTTGTTCATACTGGGCTTAGAAATCCATGACGAAGACTCTTCCTTAGGAGCCTGCTTAAGTCTCGCCCTCAGGTTCTCTACTGCGGTCTCCAAGATGGGGTGGTAGTAGGGAGATCTCTTTGTCTGAGCAGTGATCGACCCGGCAATGGCCTCGCAGTATTGCAGTGCCTTGTCTCGCAGACCATACTCGGCCAGCGTCATGGCGTGCTGCAATTTGTAGGCCGCCAAGTGTGGCACGCCAGCCGACAAAGGTGAGGTGCCAGAGAGCGACAAACCAAACTCGTAGACCTCGCTCAGCAGCAACGCCTCGGTCTCCTTGGCAAACTGGTCACCCTGAGTCTTATGATCGGCACCAACAAGGACGA